AGTACTTTAAAGTGTATAAATAAGTTACCCGGGCTATTGATTTACACTAGCCAATCAGACGAATTTCAGCCCATGACACATAGCTACGATGAAATCACTGGCAATTTCTTTCAAATAGTGATTTTCCTAGCAGATGACCCACATACAAGATTCCAGGTCGGAATGCATCAGGATAGATAAAGTCATCCCATTCATAATTTTGCTATAGACAGTATTGCTTAATGCCGACCCAACTGCGATGGATTCCGACATGGAAAAAATAGATACCGATTAGTGAATCGTCCCAATGATGCCGTAACTTTGCAGTAAAGTGCCGTAACTATCTGCTATACGTATTAAATAATTATAAAAAGCGGCACATTTGCCGTAACTTTTTATAACTATTTAATATAGTTACGGCACGTTACGGCAAAATTACGGTATCATTGGGACGCCTGCAGTAATACCGATACGTTGCTAATCGAATAGACCAAGTCGAAAGATTCTATCGATCTATTACAATCATTAGCCAAGTAGCGCGTAGTCGGAAGATTTTGGAAACCAATCAATTTGAAATACAGTCAGACCATCCTAAATGCAATGCGACGGGAACATATACAAAAATTTAGTCAAACGTGCACTTAGAGAGGTATTGCATTTAGGGAGATAAAAATCTATAGATGTAATATTATTTGGGCCCAAAGATGACGTGCATTTAGCCCTTAGGGGGGTAGCATTTAGGGGGGTATGACTGTACTGTTTTGTTTATACTATATACGGACAATAACTTGGCATCGATAAATTTAGGTCGATTACAAAGTGATTATTCGATTAAGTCTTAATTTTTTATTCATTACCTGCTCTCGTCTTTCAATCCATGAAATTCTGTCAGCTGAATAATTCACATTATGTAATGGTAAGCATTAAATTCGTTTAATTTGTCTACTGCATTGTCACTAAGATTTTTACTCGTACAGCGAATCAGGCGGATTGGTGGCTTCGTCCCAAGATGCTGGTTTAATCGTGCGTTTCACGGGTCTTCGCGTATAATGATTGAACAGAAGAAAGAATGTCACATTTTTCCTACAACCCCGATTTCAGAATTACAAGATAGGCCTTTTCCAAAAACGTCGGCATGTTTAGTTATAGGTGATGAAATTCTTGAAGGAAAGACTGTTGATTCAAATTCCGGATTTTTTGGTATGTACTCCAAAATTTTATCGTGCACTCATAATATATTTTTGATCAACATAAAATTATACGTAAACGTTATTCATGCGTTATTCATGATTATGTTGACAATTCAGCAAAATTTTGTTTCAATCTTGGGATCTCTTTGAAAAGAATTGAAGTAATTCCGGACAAGGAAGAGGTACTGATTATTATTATTATTATTATTATTATTATCATTGATTGATACTGACTTTGTTAATAGGAAATAATTGAAGCTGTAAGACGTTTTAGCAATAATTATGACTTTGTCATTACTAGTGGCGGCATTGGTTAGTCACTTTCAAATGTTTAATTGTTTGATCCTCTGAAGTTTAATAAAGATATTATTTAGGACCTACTCATGATGACATCACGTATCTATCAATCGCTCGCGCATATAATCTTCCGTTGATTTATCATCAACCAACGTTAGACAGAATGGGTGACACGGTACAAAACATACCATCTCACTTGAAAAAATTGAAGTCAATTCCAACGAAAGCAATGATAGAAGCAAAACAACGAATGGCACTATTCCCACATCCATCTCGTGTTATTTTCCCTGATGAAAAACTGTGGATTCCTATAGTTATTGTTAATGAGAATATTCATATCTTACCTGGTGTTCCAAAACTATTTAAAGCATTGCTTACTGGATACAGTAAATATATTAAAGGTGATAAATTTGTCAGAAAGTTTGTTAAAACATATTATCCAGAGTCATTTATTGCTCCGATATTAACGGAAGCTCAAGAGAAAGTAAAAAACTTTGATGTTAAAATTGGTAGTTATCCTGAAATGACGGACGATGATAAGTATGTAGTGATATTAAGTTTTTTAGCCAAAGATAATGCTGTAACTGCAGAAATTGTTGAAAAAATTTCCAAGGAAGTTTCTGAAAAATTAGATGGCGTGATTGTTGATTAATAGTCAATTTACCATATATATTTGTAAATAACAAAATCTAAAAGGCTTAAATTATACAAGTCATATAAAGATGTTTCCAATATTTAGAGATAAATTTTAAACATAAGAACTAAGTGGCAAAAAGCTATCAGATTAAAAGTAATGTAAAATTATTTATTCATCTACATTTTTCTTTAATCTTATAACTAAATCTTAATTATAAGAAAAATTTTGTTTAGTGTTTTCTTATTACAAGGTTTAAGTTAAATGTTTATTAATAAAATACGAAGTTTTAGTAACGATAAGCTGCTAATATAAATCACCAGGTTGTATTCACTCTATCATATGTAAGGAATTTTATCAAAATGACTGAAAAGGCACGAACCCTAAATTACAGATAATTTCCCAACTTTGATAAGTTTTCATTGATTTATGCTAGCGAAAAAGCTTAAAATTCGTTTCTCTCTCTTTTTTTCATATATAATAAAATATAATTTGATAATTTACCTGATAATTACCACTCACTTACCACAAATTTTTGCGGATTTCGACCTTGAACAAATACAATTATTAGAGTATTGTATTTGACACCAATCTTTTAATAAAAATTGTTATATACTAATTCTTAATAACTAATCATGCTAATTATTTAAATATCTTCTATTATTATCTTTCTATCACTGTACACAATAGCATTGAATTTCCCAGATACATCTCTATCCCAAGTTGAAAAAACAGTAATATATCCTACAATAGTAATAAATATTAAATAACCTAAAACATTCAATAATTTAAACAAAGTTTACAATTCAATTAAACATTCTACCTTCATTATTATGTGGCAATGTAACATCACCTGTGCAAACTCCCTAATTGAAATATATAATAAGATTATTAAACATTCATTAATATTTAGAATTGAATAAAGATAATTACTTGAGGAAAGTTTATATAAGGTCCTGAGTCTCCAACTTCATTGCCCAAAAATTTGGTTGGATGTTTTTCATATATTTTAACACTAAGCATCGGCGATGGTTTTATATCAGGGGTTTGAAGCCGAATTCTAAAATAAAGAAAATGATTATCAAATGTAACAATTCAATTGAAATTCTCTAATTACTTGCACCTACCTTATAGTAGACATTTCCATGACTTTTATGTGGTAGCATGGATTTTTATTATAGTCAGTATTATTAACACAACCCATTGCATTCACTCCCTTTATCCTACAAATTTATATCATTTAAGTAAACTAGATCAATAAACCATTGAAAACTAAATTTACCGACCATTCACCATGAATATCTCTTCTGAATAAGCCCTAACAAATACAATACATTAATAGTCAGAACATCTATAAGTTATGTATACCTTATCATATAAACTTACTGCGCCTTCAAGGGGTATCGAATTCAAATTAAATTTATCGTTCGAAGCAACGGTTAAAACATAATCACCAACAAGACCAGCTTCAAATGTTGAAATAACGATAGTATAATCGCCAGCTAAATAGATCAACAGATTTCTTATCAAAATTTCAAGCAGTTAATTTCTAAAGGTAGTTACAGATTTGTTTTGTCAAGCTTACGCAGTATATCCTCCATTTCACAATAGCAAAATCCACAACGATAACCAATAGACTGAACAAGAATATCTTTAGCCAAAACGCTTAATAAAACAAATGAATTTCTTAACACAAGTGTACTCAATAAATAGGAATATTACATTAAGATTCACTTTAAATTACCTTGTAATTCTTTTACCATTACCCCGGACTAATTTAACATGTATTGCATACTCATTCGGCCCTTTTAGTATAAGCTGTATCCGTATTTTTTCCATGGGCGAGATGCAACTTGGCGGAGTTATAGATAAGCGATATTGTGGATTGTTTAAATATGTGATTTTACTCGGATTTCCTCCTGCAGTTTGTGTGGTCCATTTACCATCTACCTAAAAATAACAAAGTTAGATAAGATAAACTATTTGTAGTGATTTGATGAATAATTTAGATTAAACAAACTTGTTGTTCAATTGGATAATTTGTTTGAATTTCTGTTAATTTGAATTGTGACTCGCAATAGCATTTTAAAGTAAACTCCAAGGATTTCATTTCTGGATTTTTGTCGACTTCTTGATCTATGTCGACCACAATAGTGTACCGACTTATTCCAGGTGGTGCATTGAAACGAAGCTATGGATATATAGCTTGTTAAAGCAAGTGTAAATAATTTAATATTTGGGGGCTTCAAGAGAAAATCAGACTTCAGACTTTCAAGGTTATTATTTATTATTTACCGGACTCAGTCCTGATCAGAGACATATATTATATGTAAGTAAATTTAATCACGTATCATATATGCTCTCTGATTAGGGTTAAGTCTGGTAAATAATAAATAATAAGCTTGAAGCCTAAAGTCCGGCCTTTTGCGCCACCCGTTTGTACATATGTATTTAAAAATATTATTGTGCTTACTAGAATGTGCAGATTATTCACATATATTCCCTGTAAAAAACTAATTGATTTTAATGTAATGTCCTTTCAACTTGCAATCAGATACAACTTGTGTATACCGTTTTGCAAGGATTATCTGGGTAATAAACCTTTTTTCCCTCAGAATTATCATATAAATGAAGAGTAATATAATCTCTGATATCCCAAGTGGTCATAATATGTTTAGATAACAAGATACGAGTTTCTGAATACTTCTCTGTATCATTTTTTATTTCTAAGCAGAACTGTGGATTATATCCTAAACACAATATAAATCAACCGAATTCAGTAATCTGGAAATTATTACTAGAAAAAAAAACATACCTAAATTAGATTTATCCTTAAGCACTAAAGAATCTAAAGGCCACGATCTAACATTTATTATAAGAAAATGAACAGTATAGTAATTACAGAAAAAAAGAATAAATTGATTATAAAATAAATACACACTCACGAATGTAATGTATAATGATATTTGAAGAGTTCAGGATTCCAGCTCATATGTATCAAATTAAAATTTTTACATACAGAATCAAAATCAATCCAAAAAATTCCTGTAGTGTTTCAAATATAGTTCTATTCAATATCAGGTTTAAATCCTATAAATGTTGTATAATATAACTCCTACCGTCATCATTGTCAATTGCTTGTAATCGATCATACTTTAACAAAGACATTAGCTCAGGTGTCCAATTAATTGCATCCAAATGGCTATATGGTCCCGTCCATCTTTTCATACTCCAAGGATTTTTAACCTAAATAACTGTATTGATGAGAGTACATTGAAAAGGTACTAAATAGCTTATTGGTAGACAACATTCACCTGCAATAATTGCAAACCATTAATCTCCCGGGCATCTAGATATCATAAAAAGGATGCTAATGCATATATTCAATATCCAGCTAACACAAACACATTGGCCTTTAATGTATAACTTACCTAACACTGCGTATGCATGTGTTGGAACGAGACCGACATCATCAGCTTCATCGTCGCCTGTGGAAATAGTTACTAAGACATCGCCTTTTGCGGAAATGTCAGTTATATATGTAAATAATATAAAATTATTAAGCTTATGAATTTGTTATTATCATGTTTACCACATTCATGACTATCCACTAATCGTTCCCATGTGTTCTTTTTATCGAAATCCTCTCTATATGAAGTGTATACATTATGTGAAAACAAAGCATATAAAAAAGCATCTTCAATAATAAAAATTAAGGTAGCTGAAATTTACTCTTCAATAAAAATAAGCTCAGGGATCCACCCAGTAAGTGTGCTATATACATAATAAAAAATCTTAGTAATTTGCTGTTGATAAGATGCGCAAAATTGTATACATCTAACTTACTGTAGGTCAATCCCGGAATTTCTAATAATTTGTGAATATTATAAGAATACAGATAGAATCAATTATATTTAAACCAATGCAATAAGTACATACGATCCTGGGAAATTATATCCACCCATCAATTTCATATACTAAAATGTTAGTTGCACATAAGAATTAGATGAATTAAATTGTTATAATATATAATCCTATGCTAAACAATTTTACTTACAGCCTTTTCAATAATGCTAGGCCATAGTTCATCTTTGTTTGTAGAGAAAGTACACATTAGAGTTCCATCCCGAGATACTGGAAGCAGGTCATCAATAACTTCATATTCATAATATTAGCAGAAATTTATGAAATATAAATTGGCTTTATATTAAAAGAATAAATTACAATAACGGTGCAAAATGGTTATTCACCAACCTAAATAACGTATAAATAACCAAGGATCAAAAGTAATGAATAGACTCGTAAATGAATTGTATATAGATATAAACACACATTTAATGATTCTTACTTTTCTCGCAATGCCATTGGAGATTAATTTAATCATGTATTTTCCACTTGGGTTATATACAGGACCATCTTTGCCTTGTGGAAAGATACAATTTGTGATTAACTATTAAAAAAAAAAAATTAAACAAGATATCATACTTAACACAACACAAAAATATGGTACCAACATTGACCTTTTTTTGGAATTTTCGCTCATATGCAGCACTGACGCACAAAGACGCGACAAATGAGCAATCAGAAACAAAGTCCTATAAGATTAAAATTAATATATTAATTGAGAATCGTTCTCAAAATACTGCAAAATTAATGAAGCTGATATTTTGTTACCTCTACCTGTTTAATAGCAGAACTGGAGATCATAACGATCATTTTCGGATTGGACATAATTTGGCATGGTCGCCTCCATGCTCCAAAGTTAGCTATTTGTTTATCCGATAAAGATAATGTACCATCCGGATCTCTATAAAATGATTGATGATATAATTTAATATTCATAATTATAATGCATAATCCTTACTACAAAGTCTGGACCCATACAAAAATGGTTTTTCATATTTAAATTTTTCTTTTAAATCTCCTTCCAACCATGGCAGATAAGATTTTCCATTAATATAGGATGTACGTTTAAGTATGTCAATTTCTTTTTGTGTAAGTTTGTACGGAGATGCTAATAAATTGGTAAAAATAGAAAATATCGTAGAACACATTATGATCAACATAGTAGATCTGGTACCATACTTCCATATAGCACTGCATTCAGTATCCCCTTAAAATAATAATCCTCAATATTAAAACTCGGTAGATTTCAATGTCAATGTTCAAAAATCTTTAACTATACAAGAACATAAATTAGGCTTGCAAGACAAAAGTACCCCTCCACCTCTTCATATAGTATCTCCGGGTACAAATCAAGTTAATTAGGGTATTTTGATTTATACGAGTACTGAATACAGTGCTTTACGGCAATAGCAATATCTTTATTATTGGCAAACCTTTTAACTCTTCAGCTCTATCAAACAACTGATTTACTTTGGTGGTCAAGTTCTGTTTAAGTGACACGTTCTTTGTTTCTGTGTATTAAATGGAATAATTGTAGAGACGTTGGCACGAAAAAAATTTTTTTTTATAATGTGAAAAACCTTTAATAGCCTTCAAGAAAATCTCTGCAGCTTTTGTATATAACTCTAAAGCCTTTTCTTTATTTCCTATTTTATCCTCTTTAGCGGCCCGACCTGCAATATCAGATGCTCGTTCACATAGTTTTGGAAGTTCGTTTGTTGAGTTTTTTCGGCTACTCATTTTCGCTTGAAAAGGGGAAAGTATATATCAGCAAAAGCAAAGATTGGGTTAATTTTTCGAAGCGACTACCTCAATCACAGCTAGCATAGCTGTGATTGGTTGATAATTTTGAACTTTACCGATTAATAAAAATTAGGTTTTGTATTACCACTCCCCGCATTAACTATTTTAAATCTTATAATACTGATTACATAATTGATCTTGACGGTTATTGGTTCTACTAATTATTCACATATCAATGTTAGTTCTTCGTACCTCATCATAGTTAAAATGTTTTGTCTTTTCAAAAGTTATCGATAATCCAGAATAAATTGTTATGCTCAGTGTGCGAAATTCAAATTTAATTTATGTTCTCACAAGAAAACCTATATAATGAGATTTTTTATGTTTTCACATAAGTGTAACCTAAAACTTTTATGTTCTCAGAGAACGTTGAGAACATTGAATTTTGTACACTGGTTATGCTTTTTCGATCTATTCTCTATAAAATATGTGACCAAAAATTAGCATACTAATTGATAAATTAAAAATTATAGTATAGACCTATTAAAACTGCCAAGGCGCAGTCATAACGGTTACCTTTACAGCAGGAACGGTCACCGGCTGGTTACCATACTGCTAGTTGCTAGTGTGATTATCTCCACTTTGCACTTCCATACCAGACATAGTCGAAAAACTAAAAATTTGGGTGGTCTTAATCGTGGGGGGTATTATTTTGAGGGGATACTGTAGGGGCAATGACAAACGGTAGTTGTATTATAAAATAGATCCCAGATACATAGCTTCGATGGAGTCGGGTTACCCGTTGCTGTGACTAGTGTTGGGGGCACAGGGCACGAGGCATGCCTCCTGGGCATGCCCCTAAGCATACCCTTTTTCAAAAAATTTATATATGTAAAAAGTTGTCCCATAAAAAATTTTGGGGGCATGCCTCTAAATCAAAAAGGCTAGAGGCATGCCCATGGGGCATGTCCGAAAATTTTCCCGTGCCACCAACCCTAGCTGTGACTGAGATTGAGATGAGACTTCATGTTGCTGTAAACAAGAAGGTGCTACCATATAGGGATTGGACCCGCGAAAAATTATGCTGGCGGTTATTCGCGTCACCTAACAAAAATTCGAGGTTAATCACGATTATACCTTTTTTTTAACACTTCAGCACTTAAAAAAAGCGCGCTTTCAGAAATATGTAGGCAGATCGATTCGTGGATCTACACGTGTCATTTTACAAGATTATAACGAAAACAAAAATACTGTTGACCCTCTCAAAACTGATATTCGTAGTAGACGGGTTTTGTATCAGTTTTGGGAGGTTATCGGATTTGAAAAAATCACATGATAAATGGTCGGAAATCAACCAATCAAATTGTAGAATTTGTGTGTGCTAGGTTTGTGGCGCAGATTTGCAATAAAGAAAAGTTCATTGATGTTAGGGTCAGCGTTTATATTAGGGTTGGATGCTAGCAGATATCTAGCAAATTTGCTCAAGGGAAACTTTTCGTTATAGCATTAAAGTGTTTTTATTCAGGTTTTTGCAATTTGTGACAAAACATACTGAAATCTGATTTGTAGCTTGGAAAATCTGTACCACATATATTTTGATTTGATTGGCTGAGTCTCAAAAAATTTTTATCGAATTCGATCAGAAAAACTTCGCTCAAAGTTTTAAAAATTC